TGCAAGTAAACACCTACCGATTTGAACACTTGCAAGTATTCAACTTGCAGTTGCACACTTGCAAGTATTTAACTTGCAGTTGCACAAGTGTTCAGCAGTTGAACACTTAGTTCATCAGTGTCATTCACATATCTGGAGGTGTATAAGTTTTTTCACGCACCATCAGGTTGCCGGCTTGCGACATTTCCAGTGTTGTCGAAGGAAAATCAACTTTTTTGAACGCAGGGTACGTATTTTCTTATGTGCATGATCTATTGCGTATTATTTTCTGAATAATTATGAACATATTTGGTAATATATTTGGAGTCATGAACAATTTTGTTCCCATAAGAATCCTTAAACTTCAACTATCCTACGCGACCCCTAAATTTTGCCACACATGCTCGAGACTGTCATTTTTGAAATCAGCATGACGAAACTAAACTTTTGGCGTGTCCGTCCCACCAAAACACACAATTTTTCGTGTTTAAACCACCCTACCGACGGTAGGTTCGCTGGTACGCGCTGGTGCGCTGGTACGCCTTCTCAGCCTGCGGGTCGGGCCATGGGGGTGCGCGGGGGTGAGATGGGTGGCCTATCCACAGCTTCACAGGCGTGCGGGCACGGTGCGGTGCGGCAGAAGCCTGGCTCAAAAAAGGACCACAGAAACTGCAGAGTAGACATTATAACTAAAGAAAAGAAGAAAACCAAGAGGGAGAAAGTAGAAAGTACGGTGATTGTGAAACGGTGGAACGAAGTGCGGGAACGGAAAAGTCGCTCTCCCGAGGGTTAATTCAAAACTTGATCCAAGAGGGCGATCCCGTGCGGCCTGCACGCAGTTCTGGGTGGCGGAAATAGGAATATTTTTGAAGGAAAGGAGCAACGCCGGGCGTGAGAGAGAGAAGATTTAAGATAATAGAGCGGCAGGCAGCAGAGCGAGGAGAGAAGAAGGGAGAGAGGGAGGGAGAACAGAGAAGACCGTGAGGGATTGCGAGAGGGAAGGGGTGAGGGAGGCAGACAGGGAGGCAGAGAGGAAGTGAGAGAAGGAGAG